AACTTGTGAAAATCGATGCGGCATTCAAGAATACATAAAATGAAGCAATGCAACGTTATCTGCAGGTGTTCTACGATACCTAAGATCTCAAAAATGATACCTATAGTTGGGGTAGATGTAACCGTTTCCGATGATACGAGACGGTACAGTATGGTTGTCTTTCCGGCATTATCTAGCCCGACTATCACAATTTTGACTTCTGCGCCTCCCCAGAAGATAGCAGCTAGCTTAGTGAACAACAACCCCATGATTTATAGAGAAATGAATAAAGTATGTATTGCATATATCAAAGCCGAACGGAATTCTCGGTACTATCAGAGTGCCAGAGTATGTATTTATGCGCACCTGAAACTTGAAAGTAATACAAATAATCAGAACCTTCTAAAGTGAAACAAATTAAAACATTTGTGTATGTAGTACATATATACTGTATACATTTTGTTTGTTATTTTATAGATATTTATATTTACTTATGATTGAGGTTTTGTTTTGTTAAAAAAAATTATACAAACAAATAAAAAAAACAAAATATAAATATAATGGTGATCGAAAAATATGTCATGGAATTTGTTTCAGAAAAGAATAAATAAGAATATCATGACCATCCCTCTACTTGTGTCTATCCAAAATCCAAATAGCCCGCACAGCAGATTTTCCGATTCTGCCTCATAGATGCTCTCTCTCTCTACTCTAGGAGTCGTCTGTTTTGAATAGCTAATCTCATTTGAGAAATAATATATTCAAAAACCCATAGCGGTCCCGACTCCCGTGTCCAAAGTAGCGCTCACTATTGGCAATTGGGCTGAGTTGGCAGCCCAATTACCAATTGGGCGAAAAACAGTGAAAAAGTAGAAATTATTTATAGGAGAGCTTAGAACTGTCAACAAACAAGTCCCTTTATATTGAAAAAACAAACAAAAAGGAAATAATTTTGGTTTGTTGTTCGTTGTATTATTTGTTTTTGTTTTTTATTTTGGTGGGTTTGAGACTTTGAGGCCAGGGCGGGCAGGGCCGCTCCTACTCTATTATAGTAAATATGTAGTAGAATAGGCCCAGCCCCAGATGTGCAATTTTTGTGTCTAATTTATAGTATATATTTGTATCAAATTCATAGGCTATGAGATTTGAGAGGGCTATGGAAATTTAACAGTTTTGCCGCTAATCAACTTCAATATAAATATTTGCACATGTAGAATGTTAGTATATATTTGTATCAAATTCATGGGCTAGGAGCCTTGAGAGGGCTATAGAATTTTAACAGGTTTGCCGCTAATCAACTTCAATACAAATACATATGTAGAATGTTAGATGAATAGTATTATGGCCATTGGCCAACAACTCACTTTTGTGCCTTGGTTCATATCGGCACAATCACTTATAATACAGACCGCGCAAGATCCATCTGATTAGGATATCCTAGTTATGTGTATGGTCTAAAGTAATAATCACGCTGTTATGTATTGGCTAAAATGTTTTTAAATTCCGGTTTTTAAAATATATAGGCCCATCATGGGTTCAGCCTCACAGTCTGAAGACTAAACTACGGATTTCCATCATTTAATAATAAGAGGTGACAGAGATATCATGGATATATAGGTGATATAGCCAATCGAATGATAAGAACACCCTTTAGATGATGATGAAATGCTAACTTCATCGCCTGTTATTTTATGGATGACCAATAATTGTATAGAGAAAGAGTTCTAAAAATAGATTTAATCTGAAAACTGGCCACTTGTGACGAAATCCCATCATTTTGTAAAAAAAACAAAGAAAAAAGAAAAATTATTACCTGTGATCATTGGTCCACAGAAAACTTGCTTTTTAAATTATGTGATGACTAATCTAGTAATCTAATGGGACGATGAACTTGAAGTATGCATGAAGTCATCAGGTCATGAACAAGCGATATTTTATTTCCACACAGAAGGGGGCTGGGACAAGTCACCTGGAGGCTGGGGGTAGTAAGTCACCTGGAGGCTGGGGGTAATGGGGGACGTTCACTTTCAAAAAGTAGAGTTTACTTACACTATATATTACAATATAATATTACAAGTAGTAAAACGACAACTTCATTTATTTCAATACTCTGCTCACACCCTGGCATTAGCACAAGTTCACCAGAACATAAATTCACCCCACATTGAGCAAACTCTCCCTCGCATAATAAACTCATTTGCACTCTGAGAAGCACATAATATCTACAAGTACATTAAAAGAAAATTTCGTTGGTGTGGAGTACCTTGAATAATGAAGAGTAACGCGCAAAGACGGCATACATGCGTTCCCACAACTTTACAACCAGTCAGCATCGCGCAGTCGATGTCGAAGAGGGCACGATCAGTGAGCGACGTGGCAACATCGAGTGCAGGAAAGGTATGTAAATAACTGTATCTCATGCGATGCATCAGTACTCTTTATCCGTCGGAACTTGTCAGTTCGGTCCTATTAAAAATACATTTTCAAGAGAATATCACATATTTGTACGTTTATTGTAATATTAAATGACCAGAATGTGTACATTCAGTTCATTCATGCACGTCTATATATATTTATATATATATTTATATATATATGGATAAATATATATATATATTTATATATATTATATATATTATATATATATATATATATATATAGGACTCGTACACCAGTCCGACATGTGCATAGAAGGAAATACCTGCCACAAAGTGATAGTTATAGCTGGGCTTCGTGTGCTCTGTGCGTGTGTGCTCACTATAGCGGCTTTCTATCTCCGTCTACCTGTCTGTATTTTCCTCTCCTGTCGTGTTGTACCGTGATGATAAGGTCGTCGATTCGGTTTTAGGGTAGAAAAGAGACAAATATACCAAAAAGTCGTCCTTCCAACGGTATCACTAATTCATTGTATCTTCTGCACTGGCTTGCCTAGTTGGTGACCGCGTATGCCCCAATTGAGCACCCGAGGCAAGCAAAGTGGCTGATATAATACGCTTTCGAGTTCAAAAACACCTTAGAGTAGCCGGATCAGTTTTTCAAACAGTTAAAGGGAGCTATGGACGGGTTCGCAATGTTAGCTGAGTACTACGGAAAGGTATGGTGCTTCAATCCATCACTGGTCGATTGTTGTTCAAATGTTTGTTTTGAGTATATGTGTGTATGTGCGTCGCATTAGTGCGTAGACTTAAATCTAGAGTTTCAAAAAGAATAATTCGACCTTCAAGTACGCTATGGAGCGGATTTATTGACATATTTGTACAGCCCATGTAGAGGACATGAGTGTAGACTTGCACATACTATGGCAGTTCTGTAATGGTCTTCACAAGTCGATCGCACTTGCTCACTCACAGGGTAGCTTCGACACCAACAATCCCAAGATGCCAGGCGGAGATCGCAAGCGTAAATTTGAGCTGCCCTCGATCTCCCATCATATAGTTCTGATTATTTGAAAGTGTTCTTTCGCGATGGAAAGTGCAACACGAGGTTTCGAACGTAAAGCTGGTTGTTCTCAATTCCACTAGGCCTGGTCGTATGATGTCAAAGTATGTGTGTGGAATGCATTCTCATGATTGTGCTATACTAGTACTCCGCTGGCAGCACGTTATCGACGCAATTATACAAAACTACATTGAGCTCGATGTACATGATGCTTTAACGCTGACACCTTGGTAGATACTAACATATGTGTACCTCTTTAGTACAACACGCAAGGAACATACATATTCGTACATCTGATCAAAATATCTGACGGGAGAAGGTACATGTTGTTATGTTGCATAGCGAAGCGACTTCCGACATATAAGACCCTGTAGAGTACACTTGTATGATTCGTGAGCTGCACACGATGGCGTTATTGTTCAAACGGATTAATAGTAATTGGTTTATCAGCCAAAAGTGACTGCAAAATCGGTGGAAAAGTTCAATTTCAAACTCCGTCGCAGAAATGGGGATCGTCCACACATAAATGTGTAGCGAGGACTGATGATGTTGTTGACGTGATCAATTGTTGCTGTGATGCTCGGCACTCTAGTGGATATTATATACAATCATCTGGGAGGCATAATCATACCTATGAGACTAATCCGACAATAGTAGTCGATGAGACTTTGTACCCAATATTACATGATACCAAATCGACTTCCAAATCGCTTCAGGAATTCTCGATTTTGCTGCAGATATACAGTGAACCGCATCAGAAGAGTTCGAAGACACGACCAAAGAAGAAAACCATCGTCAGGTGCACCGTTTGCTGTGCAGTGAGCAAAACTGCTTCTGCCTGCCAGTCTGCAGAGTCCAGAGTCCAGACTCTGGATAACTCATTGCTATCTTCATTCCTAACCACACCATCAGTTCCTTTGTATATCGAGATTCTGGGATGAAGTTATATACTGTCAAAAATTCAGTTTTCCGTAGCTTACTCTACGATATGGACCGTGTCAGATGACTACATAGAATTTATTTTTTATCTTTTAGTTCACTGATCAGCGAAAATACACCGAACAGAAACTTCTATTGAAATAAATAACAATAACGTTGCAGATTCCCCTGAAATTTATCGTATGCATTGTGCCAGGTATTCTTCTCTATAGAGTAAAGTTCCGTAAACATTCAAGTAAACTTCTTGAGCCTAGATTTTGAGATGAAGGAAAAATACTGCTTCATATAGAAGCCGAATAAATGTTTTTATCCGTTTGTGTTGGCACGGAGGTCGGAGGAGTCGAGGACGAGCGATATCCCAAACAGAAACTTCTATTTTAAAGAAACAATACATTACACATTGCAGTATCTATTCGAATCCTGATATCTACCCTTATCTGATAGGAGGACGAACAGAACAAAAAGCGTGTACAATTGTGCTTTCTTTTTTAAACATAATAGGTATTTTCAATCTGAACCGTTAACCGGATCTCAACCGGATCTATTTTCCGTGTAATTTGTCCTTTTGTTTTGGAAAAATGAAATATCTGATAGGAGGAGTCGAGACGAATATTATGTATTTAGTACATACTGTTGTTTTTTTTAAATCGTTCAAGTTATGTTTACATATGAAGGTGTGTAATATTTTTACAAAATCAAAAACAAAATCAAACTTTTTAGAAATTAAAACCCTATAAAACGATTCACACAAGGCCAGAATTTAGAGTATGATGGATAAGTTCGGCAGGGATTAACCAATCACTATAGTCATCCCAGGCAAACCATAATTCTTCTCCCGGAATAGATCCGCCGATCACTTCGCCGATCAGAAACCAAGAATTTCCTGATTTGCATGCAAAATGTATATATTATGTAATAATTCAATATTGGTTTCAAGAAATATGATCTCATGAAACATATCATGATGGTGGTGTACGGACGTTCCAACCTCTATCCACCCTTCCTTACAAATATGATGCTGCAGACAAGGGAGCCTTACCACTCTTTGTCACTTCATAAATAGGAAGTGCTAAACTTGAGAGGTAATCAAGGCCAATATCTGATACCAACTCACCACTCTGTTGTACAATTACACTGACATGGCTGCAATCATAGAGATTGGGTCTGAGACCCATGATGGAGGTGAAGAGCAGGAGCAAGTATTCGTACGTAAAAGTATCAAATATGTTCTGCCCAACGACTCGGTAAAAGCGTTTATTGATCGTATACAATACGAACTTCCTATCTCCTCCTTCACGCTACCGTCTGGCGAGGTAGTTACATCACAGATGAACAATAGTTCATACTTTGACGACGAATACCTGAACATGTACAAGGAGCGGGTAGTCAAGAATGAATGTGCCGAGCTATATCGTGTGCGGTGGTATGGAACTTCGTTCAAACCTGTTGAGAACATGTTCATCGAGCGCAAACGACATCACAACTACAAAAAAGTACATAAGTATAGCAACAAAAAGAGATTGGTCCTGCCCAAGGAGGAGATGAACAGGTTTCTAACAGGTACACCAATCGAAGAGTTGCATCCATCGAAGGAGAAGCTCGCTAAAGACATACAAGAAGCGATGGTGCACATGCAGCCCAAGGTGCGAACTCAATACCTCAGGACATCGTTCATGAAGCAAGAAAACCAGGACTTGCGCATCACACTCGACCGGGATATTGTGCTGTTTGCTGAGCCACAGAGTTGGGCTGAGATAGAAGCGGCCGATGGAACTGGGCAAGGCCGAGGCGAGAAAATGCCTTTTACTGTTGTGGAAGTGAAAGTAGCGATGTTTGAAGGGGGCAAGCCCGAGTGTCCCGAGTGGATACACATTGCGCTGATGGAATGCAACGCAAGGAAGATCAAGTTGAGCAAATACGGGTATGGATGTGCACAGTTCTACCCCAAACACGCCCATCCTTTGCCGAAGTGGAATGCCTTGGTGACGACATGGAGTGATCATTTGAACTCAAGTGCGGCTGGCGAACTACAAAATTCTGGTGAAATGCTACGTAAGAAGTACTCCGAAATCTGGGCCTATGATAACACGAGCATACAAGAGCACTCCCAGGACTCGTGCAACACCGTGGAAATGTCTACAGCAGAAATGAAACCCGGTAAGAGCGATGAAAAACCCGGGAAAGCACCGACTAGTAAGACGAGGAATATTTTCAAAAAGGCCAAGCGACACGGACTCAACCGTAAAAAGTACGGAAAGACTGACGGCAAAGCATTCATGGCGAACGAGCGTACGTATTTGAATTACATCCAGTGGACTAGTAGTTTGGCGACCTTCTGCGTAGGTCTGCTACAGCTGGCTACGGGAAGAGAGGTGTTGTATGTATCTACAGCGATAGTTCTCTTTTGTGATATGCTGATCATGTACGCAACAACTCTATACCACTTGCGACGCATATACTTTGTGAACAACATCCACTCCAGGGGTGGTCGTGTGCCACGATCATTTAATGAGTGGAAGGTCATAGGTACAATCATGACATTGTTCTTTATCGGAGTCAATGCATATCTCATATACCTGTGGGTAGAAGACCTGACTTTCACTAACCTGGAGAATGCAGTCATTCTACCGCTGCCCTGAGAGACGCTTCGGAAAGGAACAAACCTTAACAGACGATAAGAGATACTTGTGAAATAAAACTGATATCTTACATATCGTTTACGCTCACATGCTCTTTGAACTTGATTCTATCAAGCAATTCCGCAACAGAATTGGCAACGTTCCAGTAACTAGGATGTTGATTTTGATCCTTCCTGCTGATTGCTTAAGTGAACTTGTGTAATCGTTGTCTTGTGCTAATTGTGTGGCTGATGTTCTCATTTAGAAT